TTATATAAAAAATAAATTAATGTATTTTCAATTATATAACTTATATTTATCACTTCAAATAAATTATTATTTGATATAATTATTTATTATTTGAATTTGATGAAAATGATTGGTTTTTTAATATCATTAAATATTATTATTACATATTTATTATTGTTATATTCATTATATATTTATTATATTTTCTATATTTATTCTGAATAATATTATTATTAAATAAAATTTCAATTAAAAAAATTATTTTCTCAAATAAATTCTTCAATGATCTATTATTATTATTCAATAATCAAACAAAAATAATGTAAAAACATAAAATATAAATTTATTAATATTAATATTTAATATTAATAATATAATATATATGTTTATAATATAATATAATAAATAATTATTTTCAAAAATTTTATTATTTCAAATCTGGGATTATTATATAGATAACTAAAGTACATAAAAATAACTATATCGATTTAACTGAAAATATTTAAAAATTTGGAAAAATATAATAAAAATATAATATGATATAAAAATATATTTCGAAAATAAAAATTATATAGATAAATACATTAAGTAGTAAATTTTTCTATAAATAGGTGTGAACATCATACATCATAATTTTGTAAATAGAATTATCTAATTTTTAATACATCAATTGATGTTATTTGTTATTTTCTATAGAAAAATTTCTATAGGAAAATATTAGTTATTTATATCATAAAATTTGTAAATTATAATTATACTAAGATATTTATGTCGTAAAATTTGTAACTAAGCTATAATTAGACTGCTGTTTATGTTATATATATTGTAATATGTTTATATTATATATATTATAATTTGAAGTTTATGAAACTTATACTATGTGAAAAAGGAGAGCATGAGTAATATCGAAGTATTTGCATGTTCATTGTCTTTCATAAGTTTTATAAATTTCAAATTATAATATCTTCTAAATTAATAATTTTATATAAATATTTTATTTTACATATTTTAAATATTATATTTTATATAAATTTATGTTATTATATTTATATACATAAATATAATAATATAATACTTTTTAATACTTTTACTTATTTAATACTTTTTTGTAGAAAACAATTAATATATATTAAAAATTATACAATTTCGTTTAAAAATTAATATAATATAAAAAAATATTAATATTGCATAATGTATTATATACATATATATTATTATATTATATTATATAAATAATTTTGAAATTTTTTCGTATTATTCATATCGATTGTTTCCAATTAAACCGGACATAGTATACGTACATATTTAATAATCTTTATTTGAGTAAAAATTAATATTGATTTTAAACATAATAAAAAATATATATATATAATGAAAAATTAATATCGAGAGAATTTATGGATTTTTAATAATTACAAGAATAAAAAATCAATTTGACTTATTTTAATAATTCGTTACATTAAATAAAATTTAAAAAATTAATAACATTAAATTAATTTATTGGAAAGAAAAAGAATACTTCGTATTTATTACATAAATATTTTTGTCTGAATTGTAAATATGAGATAGCGTTAAAATTAAAACGTCGTGAATGCAATGACATTAAGAATGTGGTATTTGACATGTGTTGACATGTGAAAAAAGTAAATTAATCATATTGAAACAGTAACAAGCATTTAAAGGTTTTTACATCTTTAAATCATAAATCATAAATAAATCTCAAGTATTTATGATTTTTTTTTTCTGCGATTTCAGAGATTTCATAATTAACTTACCACTATTTCCATCGTAGCTGAAATTGCCGACAACCAACTCTGAAATAAAAACAAACAATAATTTGAGAAAACGGTCTATTTATATATTATTTATTAATCATTATACATCAATAAATGATTATGTTTGAACGAATTTCATTTCTAATTATAATATTATTCATTCTAATTATAACTTAAGCTATAATTAAACAACAATTATAAGAATCTCATTATGTTAATGCAATTTGAATCGTCATTTTCTGTAAGTCTATCTTATATCACGATACGAATACGAAAAAAAAATTTCCACGAACTATCGATGGTGCTCTTATTTGTTAATCTAAGCATCATCTGAATTGTAAAAAAATTATAAAAAATGTAGAATGGAAATATTTGTAATAATAAATTGCACAATGGTTATAGAAAATATAATATATTATTTTTTAATATTATATAATAAATATATAATAAATAATATATAATATATAATATATAATAAATAATAATAATATAAATTATTAATAAAAAATATTTCTTTATTATATCTATTTTATTTTCGTAGTATCTTATTTTTAATATTTTTATATATAATCATATGAAAACAAATTTTTATGGAGGAAATTTTATTTGTAATTTTTAAAATTTTTGAAATAGATAAATAGAAATAAATATATTTATTTCTTCAAATAAATTTTATGAATAGAATTTTCTTTAAGACAGAATTTAAATAAATAGTATTTCAAATATATATTTTAATAGCAATTCATAGAAATACAATTTTGAAATAATTTTTTTATTAAACTATAAGATCAAATTATCTCGAATAAAAAATTTCCAATTTAAATTTTATTTTATACGATACGTATTACATGTATAATGTTTTAAAATCACATTATTATATGTATTATATATATTATATGTATAATAAGATATAAAACATGATCTATACATATCGTGAAACTCAAAATATTAGAAAAAAAATCCTCAAAAAATTTACATTTTTAAAAATATTAAATATAAACATTATTATTATTATTATTATTAATATTAATCAATTATTATAATTAATATTAATCAATTATTATATTTTTTTGATAGATTTATATAAAAATAGAATCATAATATAGATTTTCTATTCAATTATAGCAAATTAGAAATTTTTTGAATTTTTATTAGAACGAATTAGAGATATGAACATGAGATTTTTAATTTTTATATTGAAATATATATTTTCTACTTTCTTTTATTTTCTAATTTAATAATATTCCGTAAATAATAAATAATACTTCATAATTTAAGCATTAAATATATTTTCAAATTAATTAATTTGGTTCCAGCATAAAATGAAATAATATTTGATTTAAGTGATTAAGATTTATTTGTTATTTGTAATAATATAAAAATTTTAGTTTTAAATATTTTATCTCAAATTATTTTAAATTATTTTAAAATATCGATATGAAATATGCTTAAACTTAATTGATTATTATTATAATAAATATATTAATGTATAAATATTTTTTATCTATTATATGTTATAGAATTTGTAAATATTAAATTTTTAAAATTAATTAAAACTTTTAATGGAAATTAAGAAAATTTTGAATAAATTCAAATTTTAATAAAACATTTACGTAACTTTGATTGATTATAAATAAAAACTTATAAAAAAAAAAAAAAAAAAAANAAAAATTATAACCAGATGAATAGGTGAATTTTTTATAAAAAAATAAATTGAAAATATAAAATAATGTTTTTTTGTTTGTTTTTTGAACTTTGTTTTTTAAAAAAATTAAGTTTCAAAATTGTTTAAATATAAATGAAATTTGCTAATTCTTGATTAAACACAAATGAATTAACGAAAGGAGGTAATTTTATCTGAAAATAATATACAATAAGAAATATAAAATAAAATTTTATTGTTTAAATTCTGTTTTTAAGAAAAACGAATTTATATATACAAATAAGAAATTTTGTAATCGATGAATTTTCAAATTCGATTTTTCTTGATAATAAGGAATAAACAATAAAATCTTATTTTATATTTTTCAGTTATTTTTATATCATATCAATACTTTCATATCAATAATTCATTATATTCCATCAAAAATAAAAGCCAATTTTATTTGCACTTAAAGAATTTTCAAAAAATGAAAAAAAATAAAAATAAAAAATTGCAAAAAATTTTTCATAAATAAAAAATTGCTATTTAATTGTTATTCTCGATTTATTAATTTTTTCATAAGTTTATATTCAATTATATTATTATTTACTATATCAATATTATATACAATATACTATACAATATTTACTATATTATTATTATTATTTACTAATCATAAATAATAACTAAAGATTTAATAATAAATATAAAATTTATTAATTTAAAATTTTAATAAAAAAATATTTTTAAGATAATTTATCATTTGTATTATTTTATTTATCTCATTTCTAAAAAAATATATTTATATCACATTCTAATTGAATCTCTTATACAACAAAAATTAATTTAAGATTTGTAATATACAAAGCATCAAATATATGAATATAATGTTGTGTAACGTAATGTTGAAATTATTAAAATTTATAATATTCTTATAGATAACTTAATATATATTATATATTAATATATTCATGATATACAGCAATGAACGCATAAAAAATTCTTTTTCTCTTTCTTAATAATTAAAATATAAAATATTTCATTTCTATTTCTTTATATAATAAAGAACTAAAATGTGTATATATATATTTACATATCCAAAATATAAAAATTCTTATTATCTTTCATATGTATAAATATAAGAAAAACTATTCTTATTTATATTATTGTTATCTTTTGAAAATTCTGAAAGGTTAAAACAAACGTAAAAGTTAATATATAAAAATATCAATTGATGAAACTTATTTATTAAGTAATTTAAGTTTATATTAGACGAAGCGAAACGGATATAAAATGAGACTGCTTCATCTCATATTTCCATCTTATTAACCAAAATTTAAATTGCTTTATAATATATATTATACTAATTTAATAAATAAGTATAAATTTTATATATATAACTTTTGTGTTTATTTTTACTTCTAAAATCGATCTTCTAAAGTATTGTTTCACAAATATATTAGCATCCTATATATAGAGACTTCTTAGAAGAATCTAGGTTAGTCAGATCTGTTTTGCACCTTCATGGGAACTTCTTGACACTCTAGTGAAAGTCGATTTACAAAAGATTTACAAGTTGGTTTCCTTCTTGCATTAGATTCGTCACAGATGAATTATTCCTTTCCTTCATGATTAGTTCTTTTACGATTTAACAACGAGTATCGATTTCCTCCTACGAATTTGATTGCAATGATTATACCGTTACACGCGACATCAAAAACTTTTGATGTATGTCTGGCTGATATGTTGCTGAATAATAAACTTGTTTAATAGACGCAAGGACATGTCCTTGTTTAAGGACATTGCATTTTTTTATCTATAAATCTATGAAAACTTATTATATGTTATATACGATAATTTCACATAACTTTTTCATTTTTTTTTCTTGCTGTCTACTTTTTCAATTACTATTATTATCAAACAAAGATTTGTAAATCATTTGGAAAAATAATTTCCGATATTTATGTTATTACAATGATGAAATGAGACCGAAAAAAGAATTGAAAATATTAATCTATCATTAATATAATAATAACTAATAATAATATATAATATTTATTTATTTTAAACTCACAAAATTCGAATTCGAAACATTATTTCGAAACAAAATCTCGAAATTTTTATTATATGTATTAACTCAAAATACATCTTTCTTTTTTTTTTAATATATCTTTTTTTGATTAAAATTTTGGCAAATTTTGATTTTTAGAATTCTTCATATTAATGAATATTATAAATAAATAATTGATAATCTTTTTAATTTGTAAAGAATAAATTTTTATATTTTCGAAGTTCGAAATATCAAAAATTTTTCATTTTCAAAAAATTTTGAAATTTCGAATATTTTATATTTAATAATTATGTTATCTAATATTTATGTTATTATTGTATAAGATAAAATTGAGAAAAAAAATAAACAAAAATATATAAATCTTCAAAGAAATAATAAAAAAAATAAAAAATAAGAATTGAGAAGAAAATAAAATAAGAAATAATTAAATTTTTAATTGAAGAGTAATAATAATTGCAATGTATTTTTTTTTATTACTATTATAACAAAATACATAATAGATAAAGCAAATAGAAAAAAGAAAATATCAGTTCAAATCATTAATTATGGATTAATTATATCTATCATATTTATTATATTATATGAAACAATTGAATTATTCTTTATAAAATATGATTATAAATGTAAAAATAAAAAATAAAAAATTAAATCAATGATTTAAAAAAATAATAATAAGAAAAATAAGAATAAAGCTTTTATTATCCCATAAAATTTATTTTGAATTTGTTAATTTTATTTAAATTTTTATATATTAAAATTTATATATTAATATAATTTTTATATATTAAAACTTGTATAAAATTGATATAAAATAAATTTATAAATTATTTATTAGAAGTAAATAAATAGCAAATTTTAATACTAATATATAACAAATTATCTAATTATTAAAAAGTAGATCATTAATTAAATTACAATTAATTATCTTTCATATTATTGACTTAAAATATTATTAAGAAATCAAATAATAAGATAACTCACTTTCTCTGATTAATTAATTATAATAAATAACAATTTATTTCTCTAAATTTATTCTTCACTAAATAAA